GACCTTGGGCGTGGCTTGTCTGCTGCTGCGAGTACTCGGTAGAAGGCTGCTTTCTGGCTTGCATGCAGTCTGGCGATGAATGTTAAGGTTGGGGGGTGCCCTTCAACATCTTCATGATGGGCTGCCGTGCTGTGTTCCCTTCCCGCTTTACGGATGCAGGCACGTTGCGGGGCTGTGCTGTGGCTTCGTGAACTCAGCGAACTTCAGTTCGTTCTCGGATGCCAGTGTTTGCGCGGGCCAGGGTCCCTTCTTCAGCGGGGGCTGAGGGTCCGAAGTCTCGTCCTGGCCGTTGACGAATCTTGCGTTCTTCTTGTCGGTGGTTGGGGTTGGAATTGGCCTGGACCCCAGATTGCTGCCTACTCGTCGTCGTCGTCGTCGGGGTCGTCGTCGTCGTCGTCGCAGTGTTTATCGTCGTCTCGCGAATGGTTGGCCCTCGAGCTGCATCGTCGGCCTCTGTCAGCCTTCCCATGTGCTTTCTCCTGCTTTCTCTTGCGACGTTTGCAGGGGCGCCGAGCTGCCGTGGAGCTTTGTGGCAGCTGAGCTGGGGCCAAGTTCTCCAAACATCGGCACCTGCAGGCAGTCGAAAACGTGCTGTTGGGTTGGGGCTCGTGCAGCGGGACAAAGGACAGAGCGTTGCACGCTGCCCGATGCACAGCCTCGCCAGCGAAAGCCGTGCTTTTGGCTACTTCGAGGTTATTTTGGTAACTTCTGCTTGATGTCACTTGCAATGAACAACCTGCCTGAGAGTCCGTCACCCTGCAATTCTGGAATACTTGGTCTTATCCTGTCCGGGCCATGGCTGCCTTAGCGTGGATGCTGTTTTCCTTAGCCGCTGGGGCAGCTGACGCGCGACACCTGCGCGGCCTGCGCGGCCTCAGCGAGGACCTGGGCTCGCTGCTGAGGGAGGATGTGGCCAAGGCCGCTAGCTTCATTTTGAAGACCTTCGACATCGAAGGAACTCAAGGGGGAGCACCGGCAGCCTCCGTTGACACCACGGCGAGTGGTGCTCACCTGGTGCAGGAGCTCCTTTCGAATAAGGAGCTCACAGAGCTGATCATGCTCAGGCCGAAGCAGAACGGCTTGGTACAATCGGGCCGGCTTTATGACATTCAGATGAAGGCCGCCCACGTCGGGAAGGGGACGCACGTCTCCACCCAGGGTGGCCTGGTGACATTTTCCGTTGAAGACCTGTCGGTTGAGGTCCACTGCCACTACGACCTGAGGCTGTCCAGCTTCGGTTACAAGGAGACGGGCAACGTGAGGGCCCGCTTGTTCGGCGACTCCATGTCGCTGAACTTCCCCGTCGAGGGCTCCGGGCCCGGAGGGTGCCACTTCGGCAAGGGCCTCGACCTGGAGGCGGGGGTCGCTTCAAAAGCGTTTGAGTTTAGGTTTAAAGGCATTTAAAAAGGGTTAAATGAGTCAAAAGCCAGGGGGCTTAAGTCATGGCTTAAGCATGTCAGGAAGGCGTTTCAGCATGTTTAAACTCTAAACAAACACACCTATGCCAACTCCTGGAGTGCCACACATGAAGCTCGAACCGTGGCGGAGGTGTTTAAAGCGATGTTTACACGCTTGTTTAAACAGTCTCTCAGTGTCCCACATTCCGAATCTGCTCAAACCGATCGTTGCGCTTAAACAGTTTTGAACAACACCACCGCCCCAACCCTGTCTTGAGGTCCTGAACGCTACGAGCGACCATGATGCGCTCAACGTAGCGATAACCGACATTCTCTCCAGCAATATGTTGGACCTCTGCACGGAAATCGTGCAGGAGATGGAGAGCGGCTTATGCCGAAATCTGCTCGAGCCCCGTGCTCAGCAGCCGAATTTCATGCACAAGCCAATGGGCAAAGGGGAGTCGATGTGGCCCCTGGTGCTTGGAACGACTTTCCTGTTCTTCGCAATGTTAGTTG